GGTGTGTGTGTGTGTGTGTGTGTGTGTGTGTGTGTGTGTGTGTGTGTTGAGGTCAGTTGAAATTTGAACAGCTGCAAGTACCCTGTTTCAGCTGACTAAGGAACTCTGCAGAGCAAGTCTTAGCCTATTTGGGAAACTAAAAAAAGACCCAAACCCTTGTCTTGGTCCTTGAGAGGTAGCAAACCTCCCCCACACAGAGGATGTTAGGTAATGAAATGTCTGGAAGCAAACAACCAAACTCAAAGAGCACCAAGGTCTCCACACTTGAACCCAGGTGGAGGAAACCTTGGTTGTAGTTAGAATTCATGCATTTATTCTGCAGTTTAGAACAATAAACTTTAGTTGCACAGTTTGCAACTAAATTAAAGTTCTTAACTGAGGAAAATCAAACAGGTCTCATCTACACTACACTACATCCTAATGACACTCAGAAAATCATTAAAAACATGGTTGTTCTTCCAGCCCTTGATGCAGGATGGTTGTGAAGATCTTATATGTTTGGCTTCTGATTTGTTTTTGTTTTTTTGTTTTTTAAATTGGCCTTTTAGGAAACTCACCATTCTCTTAGATGTCTCTTAATGTATCTGCAGCTGCTAAGTGGTACAGAGGATGCCAAAAGGGTTGGTTTCCATGCTGATCCAATGCAAATGGATAAATGCAGGATATAAATAAATAAATGAATGCCACAAATGCCAGTTTTCAGCACACACAAACTCCCAAGGCCTGAGCACTAAAGACAGGCCCTGAATGAAGAAGGCACTCGTGAAAATGATGCCTATAACTTTTTAAATAGAGGTCTCTCTCTCTCTCTCTCCCCCCCTCCCTCTGTCACACTTTATTTCGGACATCCTGAACAGAAACTTGGCAGAAGTAAAATTTTTGACAGCCAACATGTGCAGAGAAAACACAGAAAGCTGGGCAACCAGATGGCCCAATGGGACTCCACAGGCATGAACACCCAGCCTTCCTGACAGGAGGCCTTGTCCGATTGCCTCTGTACCTAGGCTCTCCAATGAGCTAACAACTCCACACACCACAGAATCTGAGCCCCCACCCCCTTCTCACAGCTTTCCCACAGGAGAGTCACAGGAACCACAAAACCACCCCATCCCTTTGGGCCAGCAGCAGCAGCAGCAGCAGAGGAAGGGAGGTGGGGCCAAGGCCTTTACAAATGCCTCACAGAACAAGGTGAGCTGCCTTATGGGATCCAGCAGGGGAAAAAGCCTCTGGTGGCTGCCTTGGAAGTGGGGGGGCATCTTCATTAAGCCACCACACACACCTTCACATTTCAAGCCACCCATTTTTTCTCTAGGAGGGGAGGCTATGGCTGTTATGCTCTGGATCTATGCAATTATTGACAGATAATGTATTTGCTTAAGCATTGAACAATTCTAAACCATTTTAAAAGAAAAACCACAACATTCTAATCGTGTTCTGTAGAGTTGTAATTGCAGGAATTTTCCAATCTGATGGCAAACCTCAGGTAATGAATGTTTACCAAGCAAATACAACTCAGGCAAACAAAGTCATTAATGTAAAGGAGGATTAGAGAGAGGAAGTAAACATGTGTTAGACTTTAACTAGAGATAATTAATTGTATTACTATGCTAAACAGTAACGAAAGTTAAGCAATAACCAAAGTTAACCAATGTTAGAGGATTACTAAAAATGTGTATAAATGCAAGACTAGTCTCCAATAAAGTTCATGATTCATTTGATCATGATCAAACACCTCGACTGCCTCGTCATTACAACAGTGTTCCACACAGAAAATGTAAAAAGCACTAGTGGCCCGTGGCTCTGCCGGCCATCCTCCGGCAGCATCCTCTCCCACCGGGTCAGGCCCCATTTCGCCAGCTGAGCAAAGAGCGGAGGCCCTGGCTGAGAACCCGCGGCACTACAGCAGCCTGGGAGCCGGCACGGAGCCCGTCCTCACGTGCACACCAGTCCAGTAACTAGCCGGCCGCAAGGATCACTCGAGGCTATTTCAGCTGGGCAGGGGCAAGAAAGGACTGTCCCTCCTTCCCTTGATGGCAGCGGGGAGAGCCCACCCAGAATCACCGCAGCAGCTTTTGCAGTCTAGCCGCCGGGGTGAAGGCCGCTTTTGGCGAGCGAGCGCACGCGCGCACACAGGCGGACGAAACCGGAGGTCTGGACATGGTTGCCCAGCGGAGGAGGGGTCCCCCAGGCGTAGGCCGGCGCGCTCCCACCGCGCTGCCAACCAGGGCTTGGCCGAAGACCGCAAATAAGCTTCGCTTCGCCTGCCCAAGAATGCGATACCCAGAGCGGCGCGGCTCCCGGCTACAAAAACTGCCCCGCGGAGAGGCTCCAGGTCCGAGACCTGCAGAAGGCGGGGAGGCCGAGCAGCCTCTGCAACTGAAGGCCAAGAGAAGGCGCAGCCAGCGCCAGTGGCGAGAGCGCCCCAGTGGGACTGGAGACCAGACGTGTCCGACAGCGGCCGGCTTCTCCTGGTGGCGAAGGCCGGCCCCGGCGTCTTCCGCCTCCCGACGGGGCGCTGCCTTGCCCCCGTTCGTCGTAAGAGCCCTCGCTGTCCGACTCGGCTCGAAGCTACCTCCGCGCCACAGACGAAGCAAGTGCTCGCCACTCCCCCACTAGGGGTTCCCCGCCGCCAGGTGGGCACCTCAGAGCAGCCGCCCAAAATGGTCAGTAGGGAGCACGCGTGAGCTGCTGACAGGAGCTCATCCACCTCGGAGGAAGCCTGGCACGAGTGGAAAGAGGCCGTTCCGCCAGCAGCAAGAGCGCGCACACAAGCGCGCCCGCACATTCCCCACCCCCCCCACAAGCTTCGAAGCGCAGCGTCCCCTCGTTGCTCCGCTTCACAACAACGGGTAAACACCCCCGCGGCTTCCCCGCAGCCAGGAGTTCAAAAGAGCGCAAACCCGGCCCGAGGACGCCCCACCCGCCTCCCTTCTCACCTTGAGACCTGCCATCAGTCGGGAAGGCGCTTGCCCTACCTGCCACCGGCCCCTTGCCGGCGACAATTGGCCTCCCCCCACGGAGAGTGAGCAAGACCAGGTCGCTCGCCTCCGTCGAGGTCCGACGCGCCGGCCTGGAATCCCTCCGCTCCCGGCGGCTCCTCTGTCTCCTCCGCGAAGGTTGACCCGCGACCGGGACGACAGGCGGCGACTGCGCAATTTCGGGCAAAGGCAAAGGTGGGCTGCCGCCGCGACGCCCCTCCGGCCGCGCGCTTTTACCTGGCCCGACGGCCGCCGTTCGCGGCCGCGCCTCCTCTGCGCGCCCGAGTTGGTAGGCGAGGCTGGCCATGCGCTCTCCCGGAGAGGCTCCTCCTGCAGGCTCTTCACGCGCGCGGCACCGTCCGCAGGCGCTACGTCCGCTTCGCCCAGCAGCCACCTCTTCCGACGAGGCGAACTGGGGGGTGTCTCCTGCTCTTGCGGCTCCTATCCCCTTGACGATCGCCGCGGCCGAGCACGGTAGCCACCGCCCGGTCGGTCCACGCAAACCGCTAAGGAAGCCAGTTCTCGGCCGCCGCTGCGGAAGGATTTCCGTCCGCTCGCTTGCTGAGTGGGGCAGCTGCAGCGAATGCGTCGCCGGCTCTGAAGGCAGTCGCTGCTGCCGATGACAGAAGACATGGGAGGGGGGGCGGAGAAGGGGAGGGGGTGTAGCAAGCAAACCTGCCGGCGGCTGTGTTGAGGCTCGCAGGATTTCTGGCAATTCTGCGCTTGGGGCGATCGCGTTTCCCTGCTGTGCCCACCCCGCACGCGTGCCTGTTCGCGGACGGAAATGACGAGTCCTGGTCTTTCCCCTCCACCCTCTCTTTTGCGGAGCTCCTTTCCTCGAGGCCTGCCCACCGGAGTCAACAGAGTTGGAAGGGACCTTGGAGGTCATCTAGTCCAACCCCCTGCTCGAGGAGTCTTTCCAACAGCAGCAGCAGCTTCTGAAGGCACCTCTTCTCCATAGGGCACCCACGCCCTCCCCCCTACTCAAAGAAGCACAGGGAGCTTTGCGCTCAAGCTGGTGCTGCTGGAAGAGTCTGTCGACTAGCCTGGAGATGTATATGTCTAGTCTAAGGAAGAGGCAGGCTAGGGGTGATGTGGTATTAATCTCCCAATATCTAAGGGGCTTGTTATCCTCCCAAGCACCAGAAGGCAGGACAAGAAGCAAGGGATAAATTTCCTGGCAGTGAGAACAATTAACCAGTGGAACTGCTTTTCTCCATAAGTTGTGGATTCTCCATTCCTGGAGGTCTTCAAGAAGAGACTGGACTTCCCTGAAATGGCTCTAGAGCAACAGTCCCAACCTTTCCAGCTCCAAAGACTGATTGGAGGGTGGGTTTGTTTGCATGCTTGTCTGCCACTTGTGCAACCTGCTTCCCAACCGGCTGTGGCTGCAGACTGGAGGTTGGGGACCCCTGGTATAGGGTCTCCTGTTTCAGCCGGAAGCTGGACTAGAACACTTCCAACCCTGGTGCGTTTCTGCTCTCTGCCAATCAGCCTCCATCCATCAGCAGACAGGGGATTAACACAAGAGCAGGCAGAGGGAGGGGGCAATGACCTCACTTACAAGAATGCCTCTGCGCAGCAGAGAACAAAAACCTGGACCTCTGTGGCAGAATTGGCTACAACTATCTACCGTGCCCAGAAAGAGCACCATTGTTCTGGATGCCAAGCTGAAGATTCTTCAAACTCAGGACACAAGGGTCTGAAAACTTTACTGTAGGAAAGGACAGGCCTTGTTCGTGGCCTCCTCTGCTTGGAGGACCCTCAGGGGAATTGCCAGGCTGGGTTTCCTTTCCTGATCCTGGTGAAGACAAGAAAAAGGTTGTCTTCATTTCAATGGAGAGAAAAACTGAGCACACCAAATAAATTGCATGGAATTCTCACTTGCTTGATGTGCATGTGAGAAATATTCTTCCTCTTTCTGGTTGGCATTTAACCAAGAAGCATTGTAATGTGGCAAAGTCTGGTGGGGCAGATCTTAGGACTTGCAATTAACCACAACAGTGGTGGTTAAACTCTTACCTGTCAAAACATTGGACAGAGACCTGGCCAGAGATGGAACTGGCCTCCGGGGCTGTTGCTAGCAGGGAAAGCCTTAGAGCATGGATGCCCCCAACATCCAAGCACAGGCAAGCAGCTCAGTGCCTTTTCTCTGGGTTGCTGTCTTCCTGTGAAACTTGCTCATGAACACTCGGCCCCTGGAGCAAAGCTGGGTTGGCAGCAAGACATTCTGTGGCCTGGAAAGCTCAATGCAGGAGGACCCTACAGAATTCCTAGCAGCTGAATGAATGTTGTTTGCCATCGCACTTGCCCCTTCCCACAGCAAGCAGCTCCAAGCAGACCTAAATTCTCCCCCCTCCTGCTGGACCTGGTTGGGAACCTCTTTCTGAGCAAAGGCAGGGCTTAAAATGTGTGCTGGTCATTTCACCTGCAAAATATCCCAAAGCAGAAAGAAATAATTGATTACATTAAAGCAAATGCAATAAGATGTACAATAGGTAACAGTCCTGATCTCCAGGAGCCAACAGATGGGCAACAGGTGGGCAGAAGATTAGAACTTCACATTCATATCCTAGTTTGAATTTCACCATATAATTTTGGACTTGCCAACCTTTATAAACGATTTCAAAATCCAGAACTAGGAAAGGCAGGGAAATAAAAAAATAAAAATAGACAATTCATTCAGTTGATTTAAGTTCCTTGGGCAAATACTCTCCAAAATGGATTGCAAACAAGCAACTCTTCTGATATGTTTAAGTATGCATTTGTGCCACCTGGCAAAACAAATCAGATAGGATCAGGAAGTCAAGTCACCCTTATACTATCACTATTCCTATCCCACGAATGGAGATGCCCTGTTGGCCATCAGATGGGGCTGCTGTGAGAAAAAAATCCCCGAGCTGGCTGGGATGGGCTTGTGTGCTCAGTCCTGCATCCAAATATGCCCAATGTAACCAGGGCATCCCCAATCCCCCTACCTCAGACCAATCCCTCTCCACCAGAACTGAAGCCGGAGCATTGCTTGGGAGCACCAGGCATGTAGGCATTGAGGAATGGGAGAAGGGCTCTTCTGATCAAGGTTATCCCTCCATCCTTTCCTAGGTTCTTAAATGCTCTTCCCAACAAGGAGTTCCCAAAAGAATGCAGTGTTTTGTAAACCTTCGGTTGCCTTTAGCCTTTAAACGAGATGTGGAAATTGTTCAAAGAAAAAATATTTTTAAATGGCAGCAACTCCACTGGTTCATTAAGGACATGAACTGCATTATTTTCTGAGTCCATACTATTTCTCATAGCTGCCCACATACATTTGTTCAAACCACATTCCAGATGGAATCAAAGAAAGTGAGTTGCATTTTCTCAGACTCCAAATTCTGCCGTGTGGGGGCTGGAGAAGCCGCAGAGGAGCATATTTGAGCAGGATGCTTCCAGACAGATAGCGCCTGATATGTGCTGCTTTAAAAGAATTCTGCAGCTGCTTTGTCATTTTTCCTTCTTAATGGAAGGGGGAAAAGATGTATGAGAGGATTACAAATGTAAATTTTCCATGAATTGGATTATTCTATCTAATTCTACTGAGCATCATGAGGCAAAAAAGAAGCATCAAAAGTCTTGGCAGCTTGGAGGAAGGAGCTGCTCAAAGTGAGAAGATAAGACATCAATGCTACACCTCTGCCTTGCAAGGCACTGCCTTGAAACTATCCTGAGGTGGGCATCACTGGATCCCTCTTCAAGGTGCAAGGCGGCTGCAGCTATAACTGATGTTTTGCCATGTTTTACCAGGAAGCTGAAGGCCCCAGTGAAACGCTCAAGTGGAATTCAGTGCCAGGAAGAGCAGAGATGAGGCCAATGCCTTGCCATGCAGACTGTTAATGGGGAAGATTTGGCTTTAAGGGTCACGATCTGCATTGCCTAGAGATGATAAGAATGTTCATCACAAGATGAACTGTTTCCTGCAAGAACTTTTCAAAAGATATTTGGCCAAAAAATGAAAAAACTTGATGAGGAGCTACTTAAACAGTATCTCTGTGGTTCTGTGCTTAATTTTAGGCACAATATTACTTAAAGCGAGCTATTTTCTGCTTTTGCAGAAATTTTTATAAACTGGGGACTAAGATCAGCTTCAATGAAACTGCCATTGCATCTGCTGGCTGCCCCTCCCCTCCCCATGATCTCCTTTCATACAAGCAACACTGGCTGTTAGGATGGGTCCTTGGTGTTCTCTTGAGTGCAAGGATGAGGCCCACTCCTCCGATCACAATGTTTCCTTTCTGTGATCAGGATGCCACATTCCATAAAGCCTTCTTCCTCCCTTACAAGGCCAGCATTTTCTTAACTGATAAGCAAAAGGAGCTTTAGAAACGGGAAATCTTTTATGGTGGGGAAATTCCAGAGCTCCTGCTGTATTGACACAATGAAAGCAACCTACTTCCCTCAAGGCTGCTGAGGGGGTGTAAATGCCTGTCTTTATTCCAATGTCTTGCGTTTAGTTGACCTTCAGCAATGCAATTCAGAAGCCTCACAATAGCGGACACTATGGAAGCCCACAAATGAATGAGTCAAGCACATGCTGTTGCTAACAGCACCTCTAGAGCCGACTTGGTTGACCATGAAAAAGCATGCCACAAACACTGTGGCCTTCTCCAGAGATGATGAAAGCAATTGCTGGACATGAACAGAAGCCATTCACCTAACCAAAGGGGCCATTCCCAAGACCTTTGTGGTTTCCCTTCTGTCTATCACAAAACCAGGCTTGCCTACACCTGTGATTTCAGGCTTGTAGGTGAGGACCTATGGTAGTGGGTTAGATGCCCTTGTGAGCATTTATGCCAGGAAGGACAGCAAAGATCAACAGCCTGGCAACAACTTTTGACTAATGAAATTCTCTCCGGAAATGTAGATTGAAAGATTGCCCATTTGTGCTCTGGACAGCTGCTCCTAGTGATACTCTGGAAATTGAGTTTCTCCTGGGGCCTGTGGGTTGAGCAGCTTAGAAACTGAGGGATTACCATCACACTCAAAACCATTGTGCAGCCTTTATGGACGCCAGATATGCAAAAGCCTCGTTTTCTTAAAACACTTTTTGATACAATTAATTTCAGTTTAAGAAAAGTCTTCCAAATAGTACGAAAAAATAAAGACAGTGAGTTGCTTTTGTTTTGGAATCAAGAGGGGGAAAAATACTATATTAAAGGTTTTTGACTTAAAAAGCAAAAAGCTTAACAAGATTGAGTTTTGGGAGGTGCAATAATTTTAGAAAACAGAATAACTTTCTTTGTTGTAAGTTGAAAACCACTGCCATGTTTTATCTTTATCCACTTTCCCCTTGATCTTGTGTAGAAATTGACCATGTAGTGCCAGCAGTTGGTTCTTGTTTTTATTACATTATTTGAATATTCATGTTATGTTTCCTGAACATTCAGTAAGTTCCAGTTATGCTTGTTTTTTGGCAATCTTTTATGTAGTCAGTTGTGCATGCTTTTCTTCTTCAGCAGTTTGACTCGCAGTAAACCTCTGCCTCCATATTTGCAGGGCAGATATAATTGATCACTATCACTACAGGGATATAATGAATAGTGAATAGTCATTCTCTTGTTTTTTTAGTCCAAACTGCCCATTTGAGCTTCTTTCCTATTAATAATTCGAGCAGTATATTGTATCCCAGGTATCGAGTGGCATGGTGGCCTAGTGAAGATGCTCGCCTCCCACTAGGAAGGTTGGGAGTTCAATCCTAGACAGCAGCAGATGTTTCTTTCTCCTGAGATACAAAGAGAAAATATCTGCTATAAACTTGGCATAAGCATCAAGAAGGGCATCCAGCCAGTAAACCCTCAGCGCCAGGCTCTATCCCAAGTTAAGGGATTACAGGGTAGTAAAAAGAGGTTTTTACTGCACCACAGGTATGGCCCAGGTATAAATGCTTTGATGCCGTTTCCACCATTCAATTTTGGTTTTAACTCTTTTCTCACTCTTTGGATATACTCTGTCCTAATTGCACGTTTAACTTGTCCGCATTTTATGATATGCAATAGTAAAATACCCAGATACTTGTAAACTTCATCCTGATGGCTCCCAAGGATATAGCTGTTTGGTATTTCGATTCTATTATTGTTTGTGATTTTACCCCAACATTATTATTACTCTTGCACATTTCTCTAGTCAAATTCCATTTATTTATCTATCCTAAGAATCCTTACGGTATTTGTTAATGACTGGGCTTCAATTTCTGATTTTCCATAAAGCTGCAGGTTATCCTTATAAAGCAAAGGTGAGATTTTATTAGCACCTATTTTGTTTGGTAACCAAGATTTCCTTCCTTCAAAGTCACTTAAATAAATGTTGATAATGAGTCACTCTGCAAGATGCCTCTCCCAACGGTGACAAGCCCATATTTTTCATTTCCAACCAATTTTGTCTTCTACTGCTCCATATTTTTACTATAAACATCCTAATATTTTTACTGACACCAGTTGTTTCCAAACATTTGATGATCCAATTATGTGGTAATGAATCAATTGCACTTTATAATCAATCCAGATGATATGTAAAGTGGATTTTCATATTTTGCAATTCTCCAAAATTATTTTACCAATCTGAACTTGATCTTTGCTTGATCTGCTGTTCCTTTTATTTCCTTTCTGTTTTACTGGATATTATTTTCTTCTAAACAATCTTGGGTGTTCTCCAGTTTTATGCTGTAATTTAAACATTGTAGGCAAAGATATTGTCGGCCTATGGTTTCCTGTTTTTGTTGCTTTTGCTGAGTCCTTTTGAATCGGATACATTTTGCCAGCTATTAACCAGTCACTGATGTCTCTTTTTTCATTAAGCTATTTAGTTATAATGGCATGTCAGCTGGTCAGATATTTGAGCTAAAATTGAGTCATGTAATTGATGACTTCCAGATGTTGTTTTTAATCCCTTTCACCCAATTTTAGCGATTTCTGCTCTTGTTCTTCCATTTGATTTTTAATAAATTCATCTTCAAATTCTTTTATCCATCCATCATTTTTATTATAGCTTGAGTTTCTTGTAGATCTTTCCAAAACTGGATTGTTTCCTTTTTGTTTGGTTTTCTATTTTCAGAAACTCTATTGCTATTTAGACATTGGTATAGTGGATTTTAACATCATCATCATCATCATCATCATTATTATTTCCTTATAACCCCAGCTTAAAATTATCATATTTTATTTCAGCAGAATGGTTAAAAATGTGCTGGTTAATGACTGCAATAAAATAAATAATGCCTGACAATTACAATATGCCCACATCAGTTTAAAGTTTTCACAGCAACTCCAGGCATGCCTCATAGAGACTCATTCACCTTGATTGGGCCAAATGATGTTTGCTGGGGAGCAGCCAGACTCCCCTTCCTCTGGGCTCATCCTCCGAGTCACGGCCAGTTCCAGGGAGTGACCCAACTGTGAAAATCCCCCAAGGGCCCTTTCACAAGTACCCCTGATGCTGCTTCCGATGCTTCAGGATTTCTGTGGGTGTGAGGTGCAGGCTGTTCTGGCAGATGGCACAGTGGTAGAGTTGCTGCAGGGCAGAGGTGCCAGAGGCAGTCTCCGCTGCGCCCCCTCTGGGCCCTGGGGGAGCAGAGAAGTCACAATGAGAGGGAGCCCAGTGTTCCAAAGACGAGACCCTGCCCGTCTCCTTCCCAAATCCCAGGAGACCCCGCTGAAGATGCAGCTACAAAAGGACTTGCCTTCGCAGCCGGGGGGCCCCTCCTGAGGGCCAGGAGACCGGCAGGCCTCTTCATGGGCCACACGCTCCAGAGGAGTGAAGGGCATGTAGAGCCCACATTGTGGGCACGTCCAGAAGCTGCGCAGGCAGTCACTGTACAGATCTCCCTCCCCCTGTGGGGGCGTAAGGAGACAGCAGTTACAGGGCGGGTGGGCTGCTGCCCCCTCCCACAGCCAGGAAGGAGAAACATCCTCAAACCCAGGAGTTCTTCCTTCACCCCATCCCTTCCTGCACTCACTGCCAGACAATTAAATGTCAGGAACTCGCCAATCCTGTAGCCACCTTTCACCTCGTGGGGCACCAGCTGCACCCCCTGGAAGAAGCTGGGCAGCACTTCAGCCTCCTCAGGTGCCATCTGAGGGCCTCCATAGAGGTGCTGCTGCTCCAGAGAGGTCATTCGGCGGAGGCTGTACTGGGCCTAAAGGGACAACCAAAGGTGCTCAGACCAGCAGCAGAGGCCGAGCCCCTGCTCCTGAGTAGCAGGGAGGTTCCTCCTCTACCCCTTAACCCAGCGGCAACAAGCCCTCTCCAGGGAGCAGCCTACCAGGCTTGGCCAGCCTCCACCTGTCTCCCAAGGGCATAGCCACGCACCTCCGTCTTCAGGAAGCCCAACAGTTCGTGTGTGAGTTGGCACACCTCTGGGGCGCTGAGTGGTGCCTCTGTCTCTTCCTCCTCCCCAGCCGGGCCTGCCAATCTTTGCAGACACTTGTCCAACACTTTGTCCCAAGAGGCCCGGAGGCGCAGGGCAATGCCAAGCATCCGCACGGCCGTCTCTGCCACGGGGACTTGAAGCTCAAGCCAGGAGTCAGCCACTATGCGCGTGCAGTCAGCGTTGGTATCGAGAGAGCGAGCCAAAAGCAGCAACACCTGGGGAGGAGAGCAGCTGTTTCAGGAAGGAGAGAACCAAAGGGCAGAGTGATACACACAGCCTGCCAGAGCCCACTTACCTGCAGTGCTGGCAGGCGGAGACAGTTTACCATGTAGGGCTTGTGGGTCTCCAGCAGTGAGACGAAGGACAGGATTTGGGGGTGGCTGGTCATCCTCTCCTTGGCATCTGTGGGCAGGAAGGCCACTCCCTCAGGTCCCTCTGAAAGCCTCTTCCCATCTTTCCTGAGCTCTGGAAAAGTCTTGGGCCAGACTAGCTCGCCCTTGATGGCCTTCCAGCTGAACCAGCCACGAAGGGAGAGGATAGCCTGTTTGCAGCTTCTTGCAATGTCCACTTCTTGGCTGCTTCAGTGCAACCTTTACATGACCCAGGACTGCTAACTGCCCTCCAGATGCAGAAGAAAGCCAGACCCAAAGGTCTCTATGCCTTATTTTAATTGTGACATGAATAAAAAGCAATCAAATAAGATGTGGAAGGAATCTTCCATAACAGAAATAGGAGTTGTCAATTGCGGATTGTGTTGACAGGAGGATTGTTAGTTCTAAAAAATGTTATCTAAGGTTTTCCTAATTTCAAATCTGGTTGACTTTTTTCCCCTTTTCTCAGTCTGCTCAGCCAACCCATTTCAAGAAGCCACACTGTCATTCAAGAGGAACTGACCATTAAATCTGGTAAGAATTATACATAAGCAGCAACAGAAACTTCAGATGGATAAGGATCATTTCCCCCACCCCATGTTTTTTCCCAGTGAAATTATTTAGTCCTTTTGCCAAACAATCCTGGGATGGAAACCTGGATTTTCCCTCTTCCTCCCATACCATCACAACTTCATTTCAAGTTAGGCTGGAACCATGATTTCCAGTACAAAAAACCTCCAAGGAATACCGGAAAAAAAAAAAAAAGCCAGAAAGAAGCTCTTGACTCTCTCAGGTGGCCAAGATCTCTCTTAAGGCCAGCTGGGAGTTGAGATTCTCTTGGGGCTGATGGGCTTCCTCCTCACCTGGGTCCTTGCCAGCCTTGGAGTCCGAATGCAGCAGTTCTGGGGCATCAGCAAACACACTGGTCGGGTGCAGGACAAGGCCTGCTTTCTCTCTTGTGTGGAAGATCTGGAGAGCACACAAGAATGGTTTCATCGGATCTTTTAATTGTTTATAGATTGTAATTTCTTTTGTTTTGTGCTTAACTGCTGAAAGCCACCCAGATCATCTGCAGGATTGAAGATAGGCAGCTGTACATACTGAAGCAATAAATAAAACAAGAACTAAACAAGCAGGGATGAGTCACGGCAGGGGACCGATTAGGAGACCATCAACCTCTTGAAAGTCTAGGAAAACCTTCCCCCTGCAACGCTGGGCCTGATTCCAGCCCCCTTTGGCCCTCAGTAGGACAGAGTGACTAGCAAAGACTGCAGGGACACCTGCCTGTTCCGAATCCTTGCGGGTCTCGTTGAAAGGGTCGGGGACAGCCAGCTGAGGATAAAGGCCCTGAGCCAGCACCAGCTGCAGCAGAGCCAGCTGGCTGGTGGAGAGCCCATGGCCTTCACGGGCAGCTGCCTGCAGCTCCTCCATATCATGTCGCAGCTGGAAATTCACATCCTGCAAGGCAACAGCAACACAATCAGCTGCCTGCAGAGGCAGAAAGGGAGACACAGGCACGCACCCACTCTGCCTTTCAGTCCTAAGCCCCAGTGGCCCGTCAGAAAGACACCCCACCAAGTGCTTTGCGGGGCCCTCTAGAAGGACCGGGCCTCCCCACGTTGCAAACATCTACTTCTGGGTGAGGCAGGAAACCTCCCTGTGCTTTCCAAAGTGACCAGCATTTCTTTTGGAGCCGGGAGGGAGGACCTGCTGCTTTCACAGAAGCTGCCGCTGAAAACAGGACAAGAGAGAAGGGGCCACAGTGTCCTTAGAGGAAGGGCCAATGTTTGGTGGACATGCAAAAAGCTAGAAAATTCCGGATTCAAGTACAAGCCCTGATTCAGAGGATTTTAAAAACGAATAAGTTTTTCTTTTGAAATTTATGGACAAACAATTGGGAAAAAGTCATGGAATTTTGTCCCAAAGGAGCTCTTTTTTCAGGAGGCAACTAGACTTTGTTTTTTCTTCAAAGACGTTCTGCTCATCCAAGAAGCTTCTCTGAAGTAGCTTCTTGGATGAGAAGCGAAACGTCTTCAAAGGAAAACCAGGAAGTCCAGTTGCCTCATGGGAAAAAAAAGAGCTCCTCCTTTGGGACAACCATGACACCTGGAGGGTGGAGAACCTCCATAGTCTTGGAACTTTGTTTTCATATGTGCAGCGAGATTATTGTGTGTACAGATGAAAAGATTCGGCATGAAAAGTAGTCCTCAATTTGGGCCGTGGCAACGGGCATGGAGCCACACTATGGTGATCATTATTTGTGACCTTCCCAGTCAGTTTCTGAGAAGCCAAGTCAATGGGGAAGCTGGATTCACTTAACAACCATGATGATTTGCTTAACAACTGTGGCAAGAAAGGTTGTAAAATCAGGCATGACTCAGTTAACAACCACGTTGCTTAGCAATGGAAAATCTAGTCCCAATTGTGGCCATTAAGCCCACTAGTCATTGCTGCCTCTAGAGGGCGCTGCTCACTTCAGTTTCAATGCCATTGAGCCAGTGAAGACATTTCCTTGGTCAGATGGCCAGCATGATGGAGTGCTGTTACCTTCCCACCAAAGTGGTACCTATTTATCTACCCACATTTGCATGCTTTCACACTGCTAGGTTGGCAGGAGTGAGGCGAGGAGAGAGCTCGCCCCTTCGTGTGGCCCTCAGATCTTGAACTTGGGCTGCCAGCTTTCCAACCGACAAGCCCATCATCTCAACCCCTGAACCATCCTGCCGCCCCTGTAATCACAGAGTAAGCGGTAAGTTTATAATTGTACATATAACCGCTATGAAGATCAGAAGCTGTAACTTTTTTTCCGTTTCTTGATTTTTGGCTTTCTCTTTGAATTCTTTCTTTTCCTTCTCTTCTTCTTTATATTAGCTTGTATTACTTATCTTCCTTTTTAAAAAACTGTAATAAAAATTGCATGCGTGTGTATACACATATATACAGAGAGAGAGAGAGAGATACAAAAGGGAGATTGCAAGTCAACTGGCCCTTCCTCTTATTTGCCCCACCTGGATGTCTAGGCAGGAACTACCCTCCTCCTCTTCCCCAGATGAAAAACCGGACCCTCCTCCTCCTTCCTGCTGCTGCTGTTCCTCCTCCTGCAGCCGCAACAGCTTCCGCCGGCGCCCACCCCGCTGCTCATGCTCCCGCTTGAGTCTGTGCAGCTCTCGATGTTCCCGCCTCCTCCTCTGTCGAGCGTAGGAGCTGTAAGGCTGAGCAGGAGGGCGCAGCAGTCGGTGGTCCCGCAGCAATTCCTGGCAGAGCAACCGGAAGGAAAGGATAGCCCACCCTTGCTCAAGGCTATGGAAGCCCCTTCGAGCCCACCTTCTCTTCTCTCCACAAAGGATGCCCTTGCAAGTGGAGACAAAGAACAGAATGACTCCTCCACATCACCACCACCACCACCACTAGGCGCCCAGCTTCATCTGTCCTCAGTCCCAGCCATTCTCAATGGACACCAACCTGAAACTGGCGCCGCAGATTGGCCGCCTCGTAGAGCCGATGTTCCTCCAGGCCCCGATGTCGGCACCACCGCTGGGATCCTCGGCGATTGGCCGCTTTCTCCTGCCAGCCAGACACAAGGGAAGCCCGGTTCACGTGGCTCAGCAGGAGAGCAAGGCCGAGCTCTGTCCCCCATGCAAGGAGCACACGTGCCAACAAGACCTTCCCGTCCCCTTGCCTGGAGCAGGAATGGAGCTTTGCTGGAAAGATGCCGCCTCAAATGGGTGTCAGTTGCCAAGGGAACCGAAAGAGCAAAGGGCAAATGCCAAGAGAAGGTCCAAGGAACCCAGAGAAATATTCTGGCACAAGGGCCCTGGGCTGGAAAAGGACCCTGCAGGGAGAGGTCGTCCAGGAAGGGAAGGACTAGGAAGGACCTAGCTCTTCACACTGGCACTTCCCATGTCCTGCCTACCTGGACCCAGGCGTTGAAGATATTCAGAAGGGTCAGGGGGTCTCCCAGTGGGCTCCCCAGGCTTCGCCGGGCTGCCAGGCAGTTCAGGTCGCTGCGCCCCCCGCCCCTGTGCAGGAAGGGAGAGGGCACGCTGAGGACAGCGGCAATGGTGAGTGTCGGGGCAGCCAGGTCCAGGAGCGTCCCCAACACTAGCATCTTCCCTGCAGAGGGAGAGACTGCATGAGGTAACAGGCAGTGCCCACCCAGGAAGCCACTCCTCCCTGCCACAAAAGCCCCCCACACACACACACACACTTTCCAGCAAAGTTCAGCACAATGCCCACCCCATGGACCTGAGGCTGAGCCCTGCACAGAATTCTCAGTTCCAGGAAGACACACCGGGATGACAAGATGACAAGGAGTCTGGAAGCAACCCAGCAAGTTGCACACTGCAACAAAGTAGCCGGAAGGAGAAGCCTTGACCCTCAGCTGCACCCATCACTCACCAATCACCACATCAACTGGCAGCTGAGCCAAGAGAGTCCCAATGGGTGTTAGGGCCTCTGCTGAATCCAGGGCACCCTGATGCTTTAGATAGCCCAGGGCTGCCTCCAGGCTGGCCCAAGGAGGTGGCTCCAGGAAAGGGAACGCTCGGGGATCGCCTAGCCCCATGCTCTTCATCTGGAAACAGAGGGCAGAAGGCGGGTGGCTTCATTTTAACAAGCAAGTCAGGCTCTCCTGCTCTGGTTGGGTCCAACTGTTACTCTCCTGCCTGTCCTTCCCGCCTGCAGAAGGACAGGAGGGGTCATTTCTCAAGACCAGGGGAAGGCTAGCAAATCCATAGGGGCCAGGCAGGGCCTTGGAAGGCATTTCTTTGGCCCAGAACTGGGCCAACTGGAGCTCCAGAGCCCAGGCAGGAAACAGCTTTACTTGCCATCTGCTGTCTATCCACACACCTACTCCACCGCATCTCCATGCTAGGAGTGAAATGTGAGGCTTCTCACAAAGCAGGCTCCCACCCGGAACAAGGGGGAAATGGTGGTGGTGCTTCTTCTCCTCAGCAGACTGCCACTAAGGAAGCGCTTCCCCAACAGCCAGGTGTCACCCAGCGCTCTGCATCTGGAGGCCAAAACCTCCCGGAGCGTTCACAAATGCCCACAGCCTGCAGCCCTTCCCTCCGAGCAGTTACTGGGCAGTTTGAGGCATCTGGAGGGAGTAGCTGTCTTCCTTGTGACTCCCCTGACAGGCAGCCTTGAATCACAGCCGTCTGGAGAAAGCCTACCTGTAAAATCAGGGCATCCAGGGCCACCCGCTGGATCTCTGGCACTGGGTAGGGGGCAAAATTGTCATAGTCTGATTCAGCGTAGAGGCGGTAGCAGACCCCGGGCCCAGTGCGGCCTGCCCGGCCCTTGCGTTGCTCAGCACTGGCTCGGCTGATCCAGAACTCCTGGAGGCGATGTAACTTGGCCTTGGAGTCATAGCTCAGCTCTTTCACCTTTCCTGAAAAGAAGGGGAGTGGTGGGGAGAGCAACCATGAGGAAGAGGCCCAAAAAACTGGAAAGAAAAGAGACATCAATGCAGGCATTCCAAGGATGGGGTTGGGACAACGTATCAGCAACAAAGCCGAGAGATCAATTAAAGGAGGGAAAACCCAGCATCGTCTTCTTTCGGCGTCTAACGGTCATCACCAGGCAGGCCATTCAGCTGAGAGGGTCTCTCATGGTCCTACCCTCGGATCAGGCCCTTTTGGGCTCATCATCATCAATTGATGTCTTTGATCGCTGAGTGCTGAGTCTAGACTCTGTTCCTAGATGCCGTTGTCCATGTTATCTTTTAGTCTTTACATTGTTCCCTCCAGCGAACCAACCAGAACTGTCAATGTTATTATTTTTTGCCCTGGGGATACTCAAGCTTATCCGTCCTTTGTTGATGACCTGAATCAATCATGGCAGAATGCTTTGGCACCATTTCCGTCTGGCAGGTCCTCCCAAAGATTATTGCCCTTCCTCTCCTCTCCTGCTCCCCCTCTCCTGCCTCCAAAGCCCAGGGTCACTGCAGTTTCATCTGCTCAAACCTTTGCAATCTTGATTTACAGTCAATTGACTTGGTATCCATTTACTACCGATAGTTTTATAGTGGGAGTTGCTAATTTTCACTTGAGGGACATTCATAGAACTTGGGAGGTGGCTTCACAGGTACCCTGATGGGTCAACTCTCACAGGGTTAGGCAGCTGTTCCTTGGCAAGGGTCATTCAGGCTGTTCTGGACCTTTTCGGGTCTCATTATATTACAGGGCTCTTCAGTGGATTGAATTCAGGGTAAACCCAAGTGCTCCTTCTGGCTTCACATCCCCTAGTATTTATCTGTCCTGCTTTCAGGATTTCAGGCACCAGCTATGTCCTACTCTGGAAAGACCTGTGCAACAACTTGAAGATTAGGACTTCAAGACCTTTTGAGTACAGACTATAGTTCATGAGCAGGATCTGCTCATCCATTCCTTAATCCTAACAATTCTTATTGTTTTTATTTCACTGGAAAGCTTGGTCGTATCATAGTGTTGTTTTAAATATGGAGGGGGGGGGAGTCCTGTGGTTGGGTTAATTTTAGCTTCAGCATCTAGTGTCCCCTGGTCGTAACAAACTTACTACTCTATTAGTGATGGAGGTTTTCACAGTCAGTATCTGTTACAGAGTGTTGGCCTTCAAGGTCTAGTGGCCCCAGTCTAGGCAACAGATTTCCCAACATTTCACCCCTCCCCCCCAGACATGGTTGGCAAGGTAGTAATTAGGGAGTTTTCCTAATTTGTACTGAGTCTTGGAAAGAGCAGTCAATAGATCGTCTTCATCACCATTTTATCTTGGAACGGTTTGTGTCATTCCAAGGAAAGGAAAGACGGAACTGCAAAAAACAGCCCAGGCGGATTAATCCCGACTCCATTCAGGGCCCTCCATGTCCGTCCCCACAGTGTAGAGTTATGGAGGTGGCCTGGAAAGGAACACCCAGAAGCTCTACAAAATCAACGAGGGCAGAATCATGGTCTGAGTCCTGGGAAACAGCACATGTGAATAACACCAAATCAGATCAAGATGCCCCAGGACCCCAGGAGGGCCCTCCGACAGGAGGCTGCTTGGGGCTGTCCTCCTCCCCTCCCTGATCCTCTTCTTTCCCTTCTGCCTCTGTTACTTGTGGAATGGAATATTCCCTTCAAGGCCATCTCCACAGAAAGCTCCTTTCCCGCACCATGCTTTGCTTCCTGGGTGAAAACAGCGGCTCTCCTCCATTGGACAAACACGGGGGGGGGGGGAGAACTCTCACCTGCATCCACAACAAACCGGACCCCATCGATGGTCACAGAAGTCTCCGCAATGTTGGTGGAAATGATGCACTTCCGGACTCCTGGTGGAGCAAGGTCAAAGACCTGAAGAGCAAGGACAGCAGCCATTAAGAGATTCTGGGCTGGTTTGTTTTTAAACAGTAAGTCTCATCTCTCTGGCGAGGGAAAAACAAGAAAAACTGCAACTGAAACCTGGGAAGCTGCCATTCGCTGCCATCCCCAAAAACTCTCGACTCTACATTTGCAAACCGCTTAGACCAGGAGTGTCAAACTCAGGTCATGTAACAGTATTGTGACCTTTTCCCCCTTCGCTAAACCGGGCATGGGCGTGGCCAGGCAGCCTGCAGGTGGTGAGTTTGACACCCTTGGCTTAGACAGGGCCATGAAGTGCTGCAGGGTGACATGTCAGTCTAAGTGCCATTGCTAAGATTTCTCATCTTTCCATGAAAAAAAATACAAGGATATCTAGACAGCAACAAGCCAAAAGAGCCCCAAAATCCCAGCCCCCCCCCCCCATCTGGTCACATCACCACCCTGGATTTAATTGGCCACTGCTCTCCATAACAACAAGAAGGCTTTCCCACCATTGAAAGTGGGAGGAGGCAGTTTGCCTCTCTAGCCCTACTCCACTCACCTTGTCCTGCTCGGCCACAGAGAGGGTGCTGTGAAGAGGAAGGACCACCCAGCGCTTGGTGAAGGCCGCGTAAGACTGCGCGGCCTCCATCACTGCCCCAATCTCAGCCACCCCGCTGAGGAAGATGAGCAGGTCTCCCCTCTCCTCCGGCGGATACTTGTGGTCAATGGCCTGGAGCACCCGCAGGAAGGGCTGGACGCCCAGTCGCTCCCTGCGCCCACGGCTGCTTTCCTCAGGGCGGATGGGTTCGTAGATGACCTGCATGGAACAAGAGGTCACGTTGGCCTACAGTTTTAAGCCTTCTGTATTACAAGATCGGCAGTTGCAAGGACAGGGGCAGCTTCTGATGGAGAACTCACAGAGGAGGGTGAGTACAAGGACTTGGCAAATTACTATTATTTATTGATGTATGAAATCCACATACCGCAAAAGATGGCAAATCTGAAAAACAACAAACAAACCCACACTTCCCAGAAGGGGCTTCAACCATCCTTGCCAAAGGCCCTCCAAAACACCAGCTTCAATTTCTCAGGAGAACCTGGGTCCAAAAGGCAGGCCTGCTCTGGACCAGTTTCTGGGTGGTCTTCAAGGCCAACCCCAGGTACAGTGCATTGCAGTAGCCAAGCCACAGGGCGACTAGCACCTGCGTGACTGACTGCCGAGCCTTCTAATCTGAGAAAGAGCACAATTGGCACCTCGGTTGAAGTTTTGAAAAGCCTTCCTGGGCACAGCTGCTCTGTGAGCAGGAACTGTGAATCCGGGAACATCCCCAGATTATACACCCACTTGAAATGGGGACACACCACCCTACGATCCATAAAACATCCTAGATCTGGGTGACCCAAACGCACTCAGTCCTGGTAGGTTTGGAGGCAGGTCCTCCTCCCCAGCCAAACCAGCACAGCCTCCAGGCACAGGGGCGGGACTTCAGCAGCTGAACTGATGATACCAAACCCCAACCCAGTGGTTTTGTGTAGCGGTTGACTGGTGGGCTGAGCAGGCCGCAAAATGGGCCTAGGAGCACTTTCTTCAACACAATCAGCTTGGAGCAGGCCCAGAAGGATGCAGGTCATCTGTGTGGAAAGCCACTTGAGAGCTCAAGCAGCCCAGAGCTGGATGTTTGCCAGTCAACACCCACCTTTTTAAAGGGTCTCTAAAACAGAAACACCTCCTCATTCTACCCAACTTGGAAGGAACCCCCCCCCCAAAGTATTCTTCCCGCACCCTCACCGTGATGGGGAAGAGGCGTCCAGGAACCTGGATCACAGGTGCGCCCCCAAAATAGTCGGCAAAAAGCTGGATGTTGATGGTGGCAGACATGAGCACCAACTTGAGGTCAGGGCGGGCATCCAAGAGCCGGCGCAGGACGCCCAGCAGGAAATCGCAGTGCAGGTGCCGCTCGTGGACCTCATCCACAATCAGCACCCGGTAGGCGGGCAGCGTGGGCTCCCGCTGGGCCTGGCGCAGGAGCAGCCCTTCGGTCAGGAAGACGATGCGCGTGGCCGGCGAGCGGGCGCTCTCGAAGCGGATCTGGTAGCCGACCTTAGCAGAGAAAGGACGAAGGAGAGCGGTCGCTCCCGGCACCGGAATGCTCCCCTCCCCTCGCCCCGGCTGCCCCCGGCCCCCCGCGCGCCTGTGGTCACCTGGTCCCCGAAGCGGCCCAGGCTCTCGCGGGCCACGCGCTGGGCCAACGCCACGCAGGCCAAGCGCCGCGGCTGGGTGCAGGCCACGTGGGAGTAGCCGGCGGCCAGCAGGAACTGGGGCACCTGCGTGGACTTGCCGCAGCCCGTGTCCCCGGCCACCAGCACCACCGGGCTGCGTGCCAGGGCGGCCAGCAGCGACTGCCGCGAGCGGGCGATGGGCAGGGCGGCGCGCTCCCGCTGCAGCCGCGCCAGCCGGGCCAAGCTCCGCCGCTGCGCGAAATCCAGGAAGCGGAGCAACGCTAGGCCGAAGCGGCGCGCTAGCGCCGGGGACACGCCGGCAGCCACTCGCCGGGGCAGCCGCAGGTTCAGGCGGCACCCGGGGTCATAGGCCGGCCGGTCTCCCGCGCCGGAGCCCTGCCGCTCGCAGAAGCCCCGCAGGCGCCGGAAGAAAGCCCAGAAGTCCTCCAGCTCCTGGCCGCTGCAGCCCGGCGGGAAGTAGGCGGCCTCCAGGAGGGCGCGGGTGGCGGGGCAGTCCCAGCCCTCTGCCGCCATCCCGGCCGTTCCCTCGGCTAGCCGGTGGCGCTGCAGGCGCGGGAGGGCGGGCGGGGCGAGGCGAGGCTGCGGCGGAAAGCCTAGGAGTCTGCGAGGGGTTGGGAGGTGGGCGGAGAAAGGGAGATAGCCTCCCCCAAGCTTGGCCCGGTGAGCAGAGAGCTCGGGCCGAGCAGGTAGGTTTTCATCGTTTAGGTCGGAGAAGTTTGTGTGGCATGAGCACCTGAGTTGCACTGACTGTGTGGCGATTGGTTGAATGAACAGATTTTTTAAATTTAATCAGTGACATGAGTTGGAGCATGTGATCTACATTGTCTTAATTTTTGTTTTTTGGACTTTATTGTACACTGCTCAAAAAAATAAAGGGAACACTTAACACAATGTAACTCCAAGTCAGTCACACTTCTGTGAAATCAAACTGTCCACTTAGGTAACAACACTGACAATCAATTTCACATGCTGTTGTGCAAATGGAATAGACAGCAGGTGGAAAGCAGAGGCAGTTAGCAAGACATCCCCAATTAAGGAGTGGTTCTGCAGGTGGTGACCACAGACGACTACTCAGTTCATATGCTTTCTGGCTGATGGTTTGGTCACTTTTGAATACTGGTGGTGCTTTCACTCTAGTGGTAGCATGAGACGGAGTCTACAACCCACACAAGTGGCTCAGGTAGTGCACCTCATCCAGGATGACACATCAATGCGAGCTGTGGCAAGAAGGTTTGCTGTGTCAGTGTAGTGTCCAGAGCATGGAGGCACTACCAGGAGACAGGCCAGTACATCAGGAGACGTGTGGGAGGCCGTAGGAGGGCAACAACCCAGCATCAGGACCGCTACCTCTGCCTTTGTGCAAGGAGAGACAGGAGGAGCACTGCCAGAGCCCTGAAAAATGACCTCCAGCAGGCCACAAATGTGCATGTGGCTGCTCAAACGGTCAGAAACAGACTCCATGAGGGTGGTATGAGGGCCCGATGTCCACAGGTGAGGGTTGTGCTTACAGCCCAACACCGTGCAAGACATTTGGCATTTGCCAGAGAACACCAAGATTGGCAAATTTGCCACTGGCACCCTGTGCTCTTCACAGATGAAAGCAGGTTCACACTGAGCATATGTGACAGACGTGACAGAGTCTGGAGACTCCATGGAGAACGTTCTGCTGCCTGCAACATCCTCCAGCATGGCCGGTTTGGCAGTGGGTCAGTAATGGTGTGGGGTGGCATTTCTTTAGGGGGCAGCACAGCCCTCCATGTGCTCGCCAGAGGTAGCCTGACTGCCATTTGGTACCGAGATGAGATCCTCAGACCCCTTGTGAGACTATATGCTGGTGCGGCTGGCCCTGGCCTTCCTAATACAAGACAATGCTAGACCTCATGTGGCTGGAGTGTGTCAGCAGTTCCTGCAAGATGAAGGCATTGATGCTATGGACTGGCCCGCCCGTTCCCCAGAATCCAATTCAGCACATCTGGGACATCATGTCTCGCTCCATCCACCAATGCCACGTTGCACCACAGACTGTCCAGGAGTTGGGCGATGCTTCAATCCAGGTATGGGAGGAGATCCCTCAGGAGACCATCCGCCACCTCATCAGCAGCATGCCCAGGCGTTGTAGGGAGGTCATACAGGCACGTGGAGGCCACACACACTACTGAGCCTCATTTTGACTTGTTTTAAGGACATTACATCAAAGTTGGTGTGTTTTTTTCCACTTTTAATTTTGAGTGTAACTCCAAATCCAGACCCCCATGGGTTGCTAAATTTGATTTCCATTGAAAATTTTTGTGTGATTTTGTTGTCAGCACATTCAACTGTGTAATGAACAAAGTATTTAATAAGAATAGTTTATTCATTCAGATCTAGGATGTCTTATTTTTGTGTTCCCTTTATTTTTTTGAGCAGTGTATTTATACCGCTCATATCATTTTTAAAAATAACTCAGGGAAGCGAACATATCCAACACTACTTCCTATTATCTCTATAACAACAACCCCGTGAGGTGGATTGGGCTGAGTGAGAGGGACTGGCCCAAAGTCACCCAAGCTGGCTTTCATGCCTAAGGCAAGACTTGAACTCAAGGTCTCCCGCTTTCTAGCCTAGTGCCTGAACCATCAGGCCAAACTTGCTCTATAAATTCTGGTTTAGTCCATGAAAGGAATCAAATTACAGAAAAGTAGTAGCCTAATGGCGGTGCAGCAGATGGATTGGTTTTTAGTTTGTGTCTTCTGAGATCAGCAGTTGTAGCCTGCTCAGAAATGAAGGGCCATATAAGTTGCAATAAGTGAAAGATTAGTATATCAGTAATATTTCCTTTTATATTTGTACACATATACACAGACATACTGAAGCAATACATGAAAGTTTAGGTACATTTCTGTTCACCTATTTCTTTTTATCATGGAATAAGGGGGAAGCAGTGATCCGAGAGTCAGCTACAATTACTGCATCATAGCAAAACTAGTACAGAATGGCCAGAGAGAGCTGCTGTAAACACGTTTCCAGCCGGAGGGGAGCAGGCGTATAGCTAGAAGCACAAAAGACTTGCTTGGGAAGGGCTTACAAGGTTGTGTTTATGCTCTGATCCTCTGTTGTTCTCTGGGAGGGGGCTGTTGACAGTTCCTCATTCAGGACGTTGTGCAACACAGCACTCAGCGAGCGCAGGATTTTAGCCTTGAAGTCTTGGCCTGCAATGACATAGATGATGGGGTTGATGCAGCTGTTGGTGCAGGCGAGAGCCACAGTCAGAGGGTCCAGCTGGATCAGGGATTGGAAGAGGGGGCTGCTCTGAGACTTACTGGCCAGAATCAGGCCAATCACGTGATAAGGAGCCCAGCAGACAAAAAAGACCACCACAACCACCACAACCATTTTCAGAGTCTTATTGGAGCGTGTGAAGCGACCACTGCGCACACGCAGAACCAGCACCCCGTAGAAGAGGCTGAGGGCTACCGAAGGGACCAGGAAGCCAGTGAGGAAGCGTATGGTGGCCACAGAGACCTCAGCAGTTTGGTGATTTATACCAAAGAGGCCATAGTCGACCACACAGAGCGTCAGGTGATGAAACTCGTAGTATTGTGTTTTTCTGGTTACGAAGGAGGGCAGAGTGAGGAAGGTGGCAAAAGCCCAGGCTGCACCACACAGTTTCCAGGCTAAGCGGGTCGAACGGTGATTCTGGCACCAGACGGGCTTCACCACAAGGGCACATCGATCCATGCTGATCAGGGTCAGCAGCAGGATGCTGGCAAACATGTTGAGGATGACAATAGAGGGCAAGAGCTTGCAGCCAAAATCTCCCAGCACCCAATGATTACCGGAGCCGAGGGACACAGCCAGAACAGGCAGAGACAGGCAGCAGAGAAGATCTGCTACCGAGAGGTTAAGGAACCAGACTGAGCTCACTGTGCGCTGCATCTGGAACCCCAGCACCCAGATGACAGCCCCATTGCCCAGTGTGCCCACTAGAAACACCAGGGCATAGAGGACAAGGGCCAGCAGGATGATGGGACTCAAGCTTCTCTCTACACTGAGAGGTACCTCTGTGAAGTTTGAATAATCGTAGTCAGAAATGTTTGGAAGACCTTCCATAGGGTAATCCATCTCCAAGTGGTGGGGAGTTCTGTAAAGGAACAAGAAAGAGAGGAGGTGGGTGTTGTCCCCCCAAAAGGTGGAGACCAACTTCACCTGTTTCAGGAAAAGGCAGTTGTTTTTTTTAAACTCAGTTTGGACCTCTCTATTCTGGTGAGTTCTCACTTGTTGGTAAACTATTCTAAGAAGTTCTAAAATGATTATAAAAAGTTGGTAAAACCCAGAACAAATGGGGAAGATGAGAAATAAAGCTGATGGAGAAACACATACTCAAAACATCTGGTGGTTGGAAAAAAAAAACCTCAAGATCAGCTGAGATAAGGTATAATTAAAGTAAAAATGTATGGTTTACAAAGCATGGACTAGTTTGAGAAGAAGTCAGTGACACAGCAAGAGGCTGTGTCTGCATATCTGATATTTAGAAATAATGGCTGGATACGAAAGTAAATATTTTAATCCTTCAAACCCAGGGTTCACATAACATGTTAAATCTAGAACGGCAAAGTAGAATTGCGGGGTTCCTAAAAGATGCAGCATGCAAGCAAATACACTGAATTGTGGCTCCGTAGAACATCCTGGTCCTCAAAGACAGCTGCCCTCCCACCGCATCTTGGCTTCATCAAGCGTGCTAGCAAGCCCAACTATTTTTTTAAAAACCTGCCACTACATGTTCCAGAATAATATTCCATCCTTCACAAACTGTGGTTCACAAGATCTGTATGGCAGAACAAATTCAGAACTACCGTATATAAGAATTTCAGGCAAAATATAGCACAGTTGCCCTCTTCCTTCCTTGGTTTTTAATTGCCTTTTAATTTGCATCTTTTTAGGTTTTGAATGACCACAATGCTGCTGCCAAATTTGAATGTGGTTTTCATTCTACATTTTATTTGATTTTATTCTATATATACTGTATTTATTTCAGTTGTACATGTTAATGCATTTTAAAAAAGCCTGATGATGGCAGATGAGATTCTGCTGAAACGTTGCTACTTTAAAAGCACCACTACTATGACGTGGGAAAATACCCGAACAAAGCTGAATGCCATAATGCATTTTATTGTAAATAGTCCAGAGAGTTTCAGCTATTGGAGAGCTTTTAAATATTAATAAATAAACTTTGGCAAATTGCTCCTTCTACCATCTTTACCAGGGCCCAGTGAAATTACAGTCTTGGCTGACAGCAGTTCTCCATCTGAGTCAGTCTGTCACCTCCACTTCAAGCTAACTTTGTGCTGTGAATCCCTTGACTATTTTGTCTGGTGCTTTCTCATCGCTTATTTTTCATGTTCAGTGGAATCCTAAGAAAAAGGATAACTGACTTTAAATTTAGAAGACATTCAATTGCAAATGGCTTCGGACAGCTTACTTTGGTATGTAGGATCTAGTTTCCGTCAAAAGTTCTGTGGTCATGGATGGGAGGGAACAACGAGAAAGAGTGAGCAAATCTAAAAATATGAATCTGCTGATGTTTTCCTCACATACATTGCCTAATCTGACAGCCAATGTTAAAGCCAACGGACGCTGTTTTTCAGTGGTATCTTGGCTATATACATTTGAAGCCCACAAAGATCCCAGACAGACGAGTGAAGAGTGGGTCACCTAAAGATGTCTGGGATAGCTCCTGCCATAGTTTTAAGAGAAGATTTTTGACCTGGTTTAAAAAACTAAACATTACTCATTAAATCTTCTCAATTTTTCTGATTTATAGCCAAATCTGCCATTAGACTAGATGAGATTACTGGGGTCAGTAGGGGCAGTTCTCCCCACTGCCAGACCTGTTTTGCTCAGGATGGCCCAGAAATAAGCCTTGCTGGCCAGGAATGGAGCGGGCACTCTGCAGTGGCTCCTTCTCCTTGGCTTTGGGAGCAGGGAGCCCCCTCCTGGGATTTCCCTCAAGCACATGGAAAGAAAAATCCTGCAGACAAATCCCACTTGGCTCTTGATAATCATTTGTATCCAAAGGACTGGAAAGATCCCTTGAGATGCAAAAGTGTGTGTGGATTACCAAACAAAGCAAATACATATCCTTAAATGATGCACAGTTTAACAGGGAAATTAATCCAATGTGAAAAGGCCTGAAAGAAACCTCTACATAGTCCCAGGTGAGGAAAAAAAGACAGAAACTGCACTTACGGTGGAAAACAAGTTGTTGCTGTGAAGCCTCTGCTTGAGATGACAAGATGGCAATTTTGCAAGGAGGGGCTTGGACACTCTAAAAGAGGAAGTTAGACTTTATTGTTAAAAAGTGTTCCCTAACCAGATGCACCAAATTCAATCAAATATTAATAGGATATCCTTTTGGTATTTATTGGGTACCTTCATCTCCCAAATGTTGGCCCTACAGATCTCCGTTAGGTCAAAAATGCTACTTGGCCCTTAAATAACTGGACACCTTCAGGGCTCTGGGAAAGCAGGAGAGACACATGCCTTCCTTGTCCCCTGATGACGCTCAGGCTTATGCACGTGTCCTGCAGGCTGCAGAATGAAAACACCCACCCATCTATTGCTGAGGCCATCACCTTACACCTAGCCTCTAGCTTCACACCAGCTGCTCTGAGTCAGAGAAGGGCGCTCTAGGGTCAGTGGGGTTTTCCCTCTTATTCCAACACAAGGCATAGCATGCAGGTTCCTAGGATGCACAGAAGACCAGCCCTATTGCATTTTTAGGAGCCTGGGGACTTGGGGGATTTGTAAGCAACCTTGCCAAAGGGTGGCCAGGAACTAAGTTTCATATGGCCAGGCTGAGATCCTAAGAAGAGAGGATCCTCTATTAATTAATTTGAAACACCACCACCCTTGACCCAGTGGGACATTTTCTTGTAGCTACCATTCTGCTGAGTTCTTTGTCTGCCAGCCTCCCTTTCAGAAGATCACAGGGTATTACAATGGGGGATGAGTTTCTTGGATAAACGAATGCCAGCAATGTTCTGGGGATGTCAGCATGCAACGCTGCACATGAAAGTAATCCTGTCTCTTCAGAATGCATAGACTATCATTGGGGCAAAGTGTTCACTCAGCTATTTTTCTACCAATGTTACAGGTACAAGGAGGCAGGGTGGAAGGGTGTCACTCCACAAATAGCGCAGAGCATTACTAGGAAACAGAGAGAACTCCTGCAAGCCCAGCTACCTTTCAGTACATTTGCTCGTCCCTTATGGATATCAGGCCATGCGAACAGAAATGCTGCAGCAGACTACCTGCAGATCAGGTATAATTTAAGGGGAAAAGCCAGTATGGACTCCTGACATGAGGCCACTTGCACCACTATATGTATAGCATCTCGCCCTGCTGGAACACATCTCTGAATCATTACTATACGCATTCTCTCCCAGCACTTGCCCAAAGCATCCTGCGATGTTTCTTGCATCAAGTTATGGCTTTCTGCAGAGGGAGAAGTGTCTGGCCCGAACCAATCCATCTCTGCTTAGATTTGCTTCAGGTAGGCCTGTTTGCTTATTCATGTCAGAAGCATCACAATGAAGATAATGCACAATATGCGACATAAAATTTAAAATACAAAATACAAGATTAAAGTATGTACAAGTTAAACAGATCCTGCCCAGAAACTAGCAACATTGTATTGTCGCACTGCCATGAGGTCCTCAAGTGTGCACTGAGGGCACAAAGGACAGGTACACAGTACATATGTGTTGTTGTCTGCATGTTACCACAATCCACAAAGGCAGAAGCCACCAGATAACCCCCCTTTGTTCAGAGTGCCTCTGGCTCTTCTTGTACCTGTGCACAGTCTGTTAATGAACAAGTTCCATCTTTTCCACTTTTACCAGACCCAGATGTCAGCTTCTACGTTGCTTCTATCAAGTGTTGGCTCCTTGTACCTTTCCATCCGTCCTCACTGCTTTTAAATTCTTTGAAGTCTTTCGCTGACCTAAGGAAGCTTTTCCTAGATTTTAGTCTCAGCTGAACTGGTTGCAGGCCATAGAGAGGGTGTTGTCTGTCTCAAGATTGATGTTCTCTGTCTCAAGATTGAGTCTCTTTCTGTTTGCTGCGGCTTCTCTGCAAACAGCAGGCAGGGCAATCCTGGCTAGATGGTAGGTCTTATCTAGAAGGGCAGGTTTAAGGCATCTGGTAATAAGTCTGCTAGCTTCATTCAGAGCAACATCTACTTTCACAGGTGCTGATTTATATTAGACCAGGCAGAGCTATTCGCCTGCCAAGTAGCAAAGAGCTAGAGATGTTGTCTTAAGGACCCCTAGTTTGGCAACCCAGATGGAGCTTGTTAATTTTCCGAGGATGTTATTTCACCCACTGACCTTCAGTTTAGTGTTAGCACAATCTGCCTATATGTTAGGGTCCTATCTAGAATGATCCCTAAATGTTTAGGGCTGTAGCAATGCTCCAAAAACACCCCTTTCCATACAACAGGCAGCTTCCTAGCAGCCTGCTTACTGTGAAGACAGAAGGCACATACCTGAGTTTTTACTGTATTTGGTCTTAAGTGGTTAGCAAACTAGTATCGCTCTAGCTCTAAAAGGGCTTCAGTTAAAACATGGTTGAACCTTCTCAAATGTTTATCCTTGTACAGTCATTGCTCAAGCATACATATTGCTGTTATTACCTACAGAAAGCAACCGATCATTGGTGTCAATATTAGAGTGGGAGCCAATACACAACTCTGTGATAAGCCATTCCTTTGATTCCTCCATTTACCTCACCTTCCCCAGAACTCCACAAAAAATGTGGTTCTGAAGCAGATTCCTAATGATATTTGTAAGTTTAAAATCTTTAGTCATATCACAAACTTCTTGCTTCAGAGTTCCAAGATCGATGGTATCATATGCAGCCATGAGATCTGTGACTACGTTGCCCTTTTGGAATCCACCTTCAATATACAGGGTTAAATTAAGGATCTATGCAGGCAACTTTTTTCAGGGCAAAATCCAACCTGCTGCGGTATGAGAAGGGGTTCTACAGCTACAGTGAGGATATTTTGTAGGTCTGACAAAAGGGAGAAATTGGGCAGTAGTTCTTAGGGAGATTGGCCTCTTTACCTGGTTTTAAAACAACTGCAACTGTAGTCTTTCGCCAAACACCAGCAATCTTACATTGTTCCAAGCATTTCTAGTAGCCACCATCTCACTTTTGGTCCAAATTGCTAAAGTCCAGTTCTCTGTTGAAAAGCAGCTTTGAGGGAGCTGTGACCTGGATGATAAGAAAACCGCCATAGACACTTAGTTGTTCCATCCTTTCTGTTGATCTCAATTGTGTGTTTTGGTGGGCTTTGATCTGAGTTGCCGTTTTTAAGAAACTGTCTGGTGGTTTGATTTGCACTCATGAGCAAGTTGGATCATTATTCAGGCGATCAACAACCTCCACACTTCAAGGCTACTTATGTTCATGTCCAGTTTATTGTTTTAATGCAGCTTTCTTATTTTAGCTATAGAAGTAATTATTGGGAATGTGCTTATTCCCACCTGTGCCAGGTTCTCCCAGTTTAGTGGTTGCACGTAGGAAAACAAATAGGGGTGGGTGGGGGCACATAATCAGCTTAGTGTTATTACAATTCCATAAATGATCCAAGTACAAGCCTTCTTGAATTCCGCTCACCCTTTTCTGGTGCCAATTTAGAACTAGATTCTTGTGGCTAGGCTTCAGCAATATAAATCTGAATTGCAACTTAACATATGATCCTGATCCTTTGGATCACATCAGACATACATCTCATCAGCTCTGCCTGGTTCAGCTTGGCACCTCACAGGCATCCCATCATCAAAGGACGGAAGGGCAATAAAGCTGTGTGTGTACGTGATGGGAAATCGGGAGAGGGGAAATGACAGGTGATAAAGACCAAAACAACCGCATTCAGTTTGCACTAGCATCCTAATGCCAGGCACCCTCAGAAATGAGGACAATCCTCAAACAACTCAGCATTCTCAAAACATTTTGGAAAGCTCCAGTTGACTGGAAATGGACTGGTCATGGGAGCGGGGGGGGGGGGGGGGGGGGATGGGCTGAGGGCTATCCTTTTTTTTAATCTTTCCAAAGTTCAGAGCTGGCTTGACTTTACATGCAATCAACCCCTTTAGTAAAAGAACCCTTTGCTTTAACCAAATAGAGTCAAGGGCTTTTCTTTCCTAAGGAATCAGATTGAGGCAGGTCTGACACATCTCCTTGAGCTCCTCAGGAAACCAAGCTGAAGTCCAGAACTCAGAGGCAATCTCATTGAGAGCCCAGGCCATCTCTGGATGTCAGAGTCCAAGCAAACAGGTGGCAGAAATTCCCTGAATACCTTTTAGAAGCCACCCAGACATCCATTTTCCTAATCAAACTTTAAGGTGGCAGCCAACCTCATCTGGACCAGGAAATGGGCTCATTCCAACAGCCTGAAGCAAAAGTTCGGTCCAAAGGGCATCCCCTTACATGGGAAGTACTATCTGCGCTACCCTATCGAGGGGGGAGACTGAAGCATTCCATAACCAAATGGGTTGAGGAACCCCAAGAATTGGATTGGACAGCACATTATAGAGGTGCCAGGTTGTTTGCTGCTGTGGGCCAAAGTGACATGTGGATACATGGCTTTCAGGTGTTACACCGGTGATACCTGACCCACAGTCAGCGGATGAACTCATCTGGCATTTCATGTTATGAACATAGAGGGGCAAGAGCACTATGTCCTGGGACCCTCCCCCAAAAAACTGGGGCTTGAAGCTGGAAGTCTCCCTACCTGCCATTAACAAATGAATATACCAAGGACACCAGGGCACCCATTCCAACCATGATTCATGGGATCAAGAGACTCTGGGGAACCCAGATAGTCAAGCTTTAGGCACCACCATGTACTGCTGGATGCCTATTGCAGGCCCAAATAACCAGGGATAGAATTGCAATTGAGACTATCCAGAAGCCACTCCTTGGCTCCCTATCGCTGGTCAGCATGGTGTCACAGCCTTGGCAGAGGGCAGCTGGTTTCTCCAGCACAGGCCAGACTTCCTTCCAAGAAATGATTCAAGCTTTTGTCGCTTCCACTCCAGCAATGATCCTCTGCACCCACAGCCACTCCGTTCCCCAGGCATGTCCACAAGGTCTCTCTTCTTTCCCCACTTGTGCTTCTGAGAGGACCAAGGGACAGGCAGGAAGACAAGACACACGCAAGCTTTATTGTCAAGAAATTATTTACTTCGTACATGATAATGGAGAAGCCTGTGACAGGAAGGGCCTCACTCTCTCCCAGGGCCCAGGTCACCCCTCCTATACAAAAGACTGGGCTGGAGGGAGGACACTACTTTTCCCATCCAAGAAAGATTGCAGAAGGTTTGGAAGCAGAGCTGCAGGCTCCATTTGTCCATGATTTGTGTGTTAAGAGCACTAAAGGGTGATGGGGGAATTGGGGTGTGTGGCTGGCTGGCTTAACCCAAACTCTGGAGAATGTTCAAGAGTGCCACAAATATGCAGAACACATGTGTGTGTCACAACTGTATCCAGCAGCTCTGATGGTCTGGCTCAAGTTCTCGGCAGGCTGCCAGCTGCATTCCAAGCAGCTCTGGAAAAGAACTGTCAGGGGGCAGCCTCTGGTGCCTCCGTCTCCAAAGGCTCCTGGTGGGCAGGAGAGAAAAAGTCACCAAGCACGAAACAGCCCCTGGAAGGTGGCTGACCACAGGCAAAGACCTGGTCAAAGTGGATCCTGAGCTTCTCGAGACCAAGCGACCGGCCGATGACCAAATTACCTAGCCTTTGATACCTGTGCACTACACAGCGCCATAAACTAACCAAGCCAACTGTATGGGAACAACAGGCCAAGTCACAAAACTTAAAATTAAGCAAGCTGAGCCTATTCTGCAAATGGGCTATTAAGTTTCAAGCCAAGTTGGTTAAGCAGGGTCTTCGAACTCAGCCTAACACTTTTGGGGAGACCTTTAGTTTTTGAACTGAAATGGTTCATTTACTCATTTTCTTCTTTCCAACCTCTTAGATGAGCAAAAATTGCCCTGTTATGAAGTTTATTGTTCTGGTGGCCTTTCAGGGTGAAGAGCAGCAAAAATGTCCCCAAAATAATGATAAAATGATGCATGTATATTTTAAACCTTAAGCTAAAATCCCTACTCACCCCCTTCTTCCACCTTGCTTGGCCAGCCACCTCTTTGGGCTCGGGCATTTCTGCATCCATTTTTATCTCTGCCTCGGGGGCTCTGGGTGCAACAGAAGCTGCCCCTCCTGCTGGGGGGTCCATGGGGAGAGATCCCTGCGCTGCCAGTGGTACCAGGGAACCCACTCCTGCAGGAAGAGAAGAACAGCCTGAGCAGCATCCCATAGTAAAATACACCCTCCTCTTGCCCCACCTCTCCCGGGTTGCCCCAGGAGCCCTCCACCTTCAGGACACTCTGTCCTTTACCAGAAGTCCCAGCAGGCGGTTCCTCCCTGAGCGCAGCCAAGAGGCTTTGGCTGTTGCTGCTGGCCCGGGGAGAGCGCATCTCCATCTCTTCCCCCCAGTCGGACACAGGCTCGTATCCCTCTGCTAGCCCCAAGGGGGTCACGGGCAGCCCCTCCATGGCTGCAGCCTCTTGAGGTGAAGCAGGCCGAAGGGTGAGCTGTTGTCTAGGCTTCCTCGGGGGCAGGGGGGAGCAGGAGGGACGAGGCCCGTCTCCTTCCGAGGAAGAATCCTGGCTACTGTTGGCTTCAGGTTCTTCTTCTTCCTCCTCCTCCTCCTCCCCACTGACATCCTCCCATTCATCCTCTTCCGCATCCTCTTCTGTCACTGCTGTTATTTGTGGCTCTGTCTGGGGGATCCCAGGTGGGAGAGAAAAGGATCACAGGGGAAATCTAAGAATCATTTTTGACTCAATCGTAGACCAGTTGCCTTGGGAAGAGGCCTCCAACTCTGGCCCAAGGGAGAGCTCCCCAGAGGCCCACCTGGGTCTCCCAGATTGGTTTGGGGAACAGTAAGAAACACTGGCTTCCGGGCCCACCTGCAGCACAGAGGTAGCCTCCACCTTATCCTCCCCTGCAGATGCAGAGAGCGTCCGGTCTGCTTCCTCCTTTTCCCACCGGTTGTCGTGCATGCTGCAGAGACAAGCCAACGCTGAGTCAAGAGTCTCGCACCAGGGCAGGACCAGCAGAGAGACCCTCTGTTGCAGCTCCCACCCTCCCAGCCTGTGTTCACCTGTAGGACTTGGGAAGACTCCCTCGGGGGCACCCACGGCCTTGAATCTTCCGGTGTCGGTCCCCAGATTGCCCAACCACGAACTCCCCAAAAGTGGGCAGTTTGGGAGGATACTTGGAGTGCTCTACAACAGGGGTCCAAAAGGAGGCGATGTCTGTCAAATGCCCACTCTCTGCCCTGTGGGACCATCCCCACTCGGGCAAAGAGGAAGCACCCACAGCTCGTATCCCCTCCTTACCCTGCTTGTCAACCGATGAGCCTCGAGGCTCGCTGCCTTCTTTCAGCCTGTGGAGATGAGAAGCCAGAGGTAAGGGAGACCCTCCCACTCCTGCAACTAAGCTGCTCCAGAGATCCCCTCCTGGTCCCCTGCCCAAAAAAGGTCTGCAGCCACCCTGTGGGATCAGGGCACCTACACGGGATCTGTCTTCTCGGCATCCCATTCTCGGCGCCACTCCCCAGTGGGCTGGCGGTGCCGGGCCAAGCGATCCCGGTCGATCTGCTCCCGTTCCTGCTTCCACCGAGTGTACTCAGCCCGTTCGCGGCCAGTCATGGAAAGTGTCATATCCAAGGTCGTCTTCAGGCCCCTGCGCCGGCCACTGCCCCGGCCCTGCCAGAAGAGGCCAGCTGAGGACAGGGCCCTCCTATACACATACAATCACACACACACACACACACACACACACACACACACAGAAGGCTGCCTGTGGTCCAGGTCCAGTCAAAGAACCTTCCATTGAGAAACCCAGCTTTTGTATGTGTGGGTGTGTGAGTGTGTAGGTGTGCGCGCCCGCGCGCAAAGGAGGATTCACAGGGACCCCACAACGACTCCCCCACATACATACGCCCATTCTCAAACGCACCAGCGAGGGCGGCTCTTTCTCTGGCTCCAGGCCTGTCTTGACCTTATCAAAGTCAGCACCCCCCCAGTTCCGGACGTGGCGGCGGCTGCCCTCCCGCCTGCCGGCCTCGGAGAAGGTGCCACTGCGCCGCGGGTCATCCAGGAAGTTGCGGACCGGGTTCTTCTCTTGCAGGCCGTCCTGCCCAGGGGAGAGCAGCGGGGCCTGAGCTAAGCCTGTGGCCGCCCGCCCCGCTTGCCCCCCCCCCTGCCACCCCACTCACCCGCTGCCCGCGCTCGTACTCGGCGATCTTCTCCATCTCCTCGTTCATTTGCTCGATGTTCCGCCGCCGCCGCTCCTCCCACTCCTGCGGGGGGGGGGAGAAACAGCCCTGCCAGCGCCCCGCCGCCGGACACCCCCCCGCACGCCCCCCCCCCCGCAGCTGCCCCCGCCGCCTT